GGGGGCCTTGTGCAGGAGACACGCCACGGTAGGCAACCCTGGAGAGGCATCCTCAGGCACCGGAACACTGAGGACATGTCAGGTGGCACATTCATCCCAAGCTGCTGTCCCAGCTTCCCCATCCTTGCTTATATCTGAGATGGCTGTTCAGGTGAGGTGTGTTTTCTGTGGCCATAGAAAAATTGGATCTTATTGGCTCACTTATAACGAGACCACTGTGGTTTAAATGTTTTGCTGTCTGTCTTGAAGTTAGGTTTCTTGGCTGTTAGCTCATAGTTTGGGAAGACACACCACACACACACACACACACACACACACACACACACCTTTGACCCAAAAAATGTAGCTGCTCAAGCCAGCCAAGCTCTTCCCTGCTGTAGGGTCCTTGGACATGCTATTTCTTCTGCCTGAGCTTTTGTTCGTAAGCTTTTTTTCTAAACCTTTTTTCCTTAGCCTTTACATCTCAGTCCAAATCTTAGCTCTTCAGAGAACTCAAACTGATCCCCCTGGCACTTCCTCACTCAGGCCCACTTCTCTACCAATTCTTTTCATCCTTTTTTTTTTTAAAGATTTATTTATTCATACAGAACTGGGGTACAGGCCAGAGGCTCAGGGACGGTGAGAGGCTTCACCAGAGACAGAGTGGGGAGCAGAACAGGCAGATTGACGAAGTACACTGCTGAGGGGAGCAGCGGGCGGGTCAGGAGAGGTCTGGCTTGCCATGTGGTCTCCTCCGGGGCAGGCGGCAGGCGGGAATCGAACTCATGCGGAAGTGGCTTCAGATTCTCAGTGCTGTGCTTTAACCCGCTGCGCCACCAGGGAGGGCCCATCCTTTTTTTTTAATTGACTTCTTTTATTCTTTGGCTCTCCCTCCAAGTCCCTTCAGTTACAAAAAAGTAGAAACCAAGCCCTCCCTAGTGGTGCAATGGGTTAGGAGGCAGCACAGCAAGTAGGCTGCAGCCACTTCAGTGTGAGTTCGATCCCCAACACCAGCACCGAAGGTGACCCACATGGCGCGACAGACCTCTCCTGACCCACCCGCTGCTCCCCTCAGCAATGTACTTTGTCAGTCAGCCTGTTCTGCTCCCCACTCTGTCTCTGGTGAATCCTGTCACCACCCCTGCGCCTCTGGCTTATACTCCATCTCTGTATGCATAAATGAATAAAAATCTTAAAAAAAAAATGAAACCATATTTCTCTGATTTACAGTTCTCCCCTAGTCCTAAAGCAGGTCTTGATTCATTCATGGAATTTAAATATTTGTCAGATAAATGGACCAATAAATCAACTGTCTTGATTTCATATCCTGGATCTTTAACATAAAACAAACATTGGTAACCTTGTATTGGGATCTTACTGTTTTAGAATAAGTTAAACTGTAGGAACCTATATTTGACTATTGAAGAGGTCTCCTGCTCCCACTTTTCCTTCAGTGTCCTGAAGTTAGACATCAGAGGTCGGACTGCTACACACTGTCTACTGATTTTGACCCTGTAGAAAGAGGAGAAGAACTCCTTTATGAAGGACTATTCTGTCTGCAGTCTCTAAACAGTCCTTCCATTTTCTCTTGCTTCAGTATTTGTACCAGTGGTGTGTGTCCACCATCCAGTACAAGCAATTTGGTGCAAATAATAGGAACTATTTGTAACAAGCAATTTGATGCAAATAATGGGCATGATTTGTAGTAATTCGTTATTCTTATTCAAAGGTTGAAATCCCTGCTATCAGAGACATGTGTTCTTTAGCAAGAGAAGATGACAGTCACCCACTGGGTGAAGCCAACCATCCCAGACGCCCACTTTAAAAGTTCCATGTTTCTGGGCTCTCCCTGGTGGCATAGAGGGTTAAAGCACAGCACCAAGAAGCTAAAGCCACTTCAGCATGAGTTCAATCCCCGCCACGCCCTGGAGGTGACCCATATGACATGGCAGACCTCTCCTGACCCGCCCACTGCTCTCCTCAGCAGTGTACTCCATAGATCTGCCTGTTCTGCTCCCTGCTCTGTCTCTGGTGAAGCCTCTCACTGATCCTGAGCGTCTGGCCTGTACCCCAGTTCTGTAGGCACAAATAAATAAACTTTTTTTTTTTTTTTTAAAAAGAAAAGACAGAGGGGTCACAGCTTGCTAGAGCAGAAGCCCCAGCAGGGTGGGAAGCTAGGAGCAAACAGTTTAGGCCCAAACCCATCATTGTGTCTGAAAACCGGAAATTCTCCTAGCAGTCATAAGAGAAGGAGAATTAGTATGTGCGGGTAAGTGACACAAACGCTCAGATTTTCACTCCACCGGCTTCTGTGGCTATCGCCTGCGGCCTTGAATGCAGGAGGCGCCCAGGAGCACACGTGCCCAGTGGCAGACACCTGGAGTGTGGTGTGGGCGTGTGTAAGTGACGCACCTGAGCCTGGAGGGGGAGGTTGTCTGGGCGCGTCAAACAGGGTGGCTGCCGCGGAAGACTACGTACAGTGTGGGGCTACCAGAGGAGACTGACTGCAGGGGAAGAGGCAGGCGTCGCCCACCAGAGAGCCCAACGAGGAGTGAGATCCGCAGGGCTGGGAACCCCACCTGTCTCCTGGCCTGCACCTGGTCGCCTCACTACAAATGGTGTAGGAAGGTCATTACAAGCCTGAAAAAAATAATAACAACTATATACCAGAGACAATTTACGGGGGGTGGAGAGGGGAATGGGATAAAAAAATGGGAGGGAAGTGCACGGGGCTGTGGTGATGGCACACGGGTGATTTGGCCTTGGGAAGCCCACGGGGATTACAACTGAGATGGGAAAAGACACACAATGATGTAAAAATAAGCTATTATAATAATTTTTTTAAAAAGCCAGGAGGCTTCAACAAGACTCTCCTTTACCGCTGCCAGGTCCAGAGAGACCTTGCCCTGGGCTTGCTGGCGCTACACTGCGTGATGAAATCTTCAGTTTGGAAGTGCAGGAAAGGATAAGGAACTAATAAAGATCTTCCAGCACATGAGATTAAATACATAAAATAAAGTAAGACAGGGCGGGGTTGGCTCAGCCCCTTAGGAAACTACCTCACTTCTCTGCTGTTTGCAGTCCTAAATCCTGGTGTCTACAATCAGCCAGCCCAGGAGTGAGGACCCCCTAAGGAGAGCCTGTTCCCGCCCAACCGATCTGAATATCCCCACGGACTCAGAGAGCCGTAGTTATTAGCTCCATTCTTTCCAGGTGAGTAATTATGACTCAGAGACGGTAAGTTACTTGGTCAGGGTCACACAAAAAATAGCAAACAGCTAGAATCAAAAGTCCAGGTCTGCAGGGCCTAAAACCTGTGCCTTTCAGTGCAGCTGCTCTCGCCTCAGGAAATGCCATCGCCAAGGCTGGCATCCTGTGCAGGAGATTTCCTCTTTACCAGCGGAGAGACCACTGTAAAATAGTAAGTGCCCGCAGGACAGTGCCAGACTCCGCGACAGAAGCCCTCGCTTCTTGGCCTGTGACTCCCACCCTCTCCTAGTCCCCCCACACCCTTCTTTGATGTGCTGAGAAGTTCCCTCTTAAGGTCAAGGCCAGAGGGCATATTTTCCATGTAACCATGTTCTGTCAGTATAATCCCCTCTGGTGTGAGTGAACTTTACTCAGAATAGTTTCTAGGGTTTAGTTGAAAACTAGGGATGCCTTAAAATCTGCAACATGAGAGGCAGGGAGGATCTGGGCAGAACTGAGTCTCCAACAGAAAGTCTTGAAGCATGACCCTCTCTGGTGGCGCAACTGGCATAAATGCAGCACCGTGAAGCTGGCCGTGGCCACTTCAGTGGCCCACGTGGCGTGGCAGACCTCCCCTGACTCCCCGCTGCTCCCCTCAGCAGTGTACTTCCTCAAACTGCCTATTCTGTTCCCCACTCTGTCTCTGGTGAATCCTCTCACTGCCCCCGCACCTCTGGTCTGTACCCCAGTTCTGTATGCATAAATAAATGTCTTTTAAAAAAGAAAAGTCTTGAAGCAAGTGGTGAAACCACGGGGCCTGGTGGGGAGCTCTCCCTCCCGAGAACCAGGAGTGAACTTCGGGTGCTTCTCCCCCACGTGGCCCCACTGGGGCCAGGTCACCTTCTCTGGCTGTCAGCAGCTCCTGCCTGACCCAGCCTTGCCCTGCTCCAGCCAACCCCCAGGCTGCGCCAAGGAGAGCCTTCTAAATCTGACCCAGCCACTCCCTACAGGAGGGCTTGTCAATGACTCCTTGTTCTTCCTGGGATAAAGTCCAAATTCTGCACTGAGGGTCAAAGGCCCTTCGTGACCCTGGTCCCTCCCTACCGTGCTGGGTGTCTTGCTCTCACCACCTCACTTGCTCCCACCACCTGCATTTCCCCCAGTTCCCAGAATGCTGTCCCCTTTCCGGCCTCCACACTCTGCCTAACGATGGGTCTCAGCCCCTACTTCTTGCTCATGAATGGCTTTCCTGATCTGCCTGAGACTATGGGGGAGGGGGGCTGTACCAGCAATTATCACAATGCAGGGAGATGACCTATTTGTCTACTAGGCCCGGCCATCCCGAGAGCTCCAGCTTCTATCTTATTTGTATTCTCTGCATTTTTTGAAAGCGAGGACTCAGTAAATGCCTTCTGCATGAAAGAATGAGTGAGTGAATAAAAGTATGTGGCTGTGCCAGGAAAGCACTGAGCCTGAATTTTCAAACATCAGTTCTGTTAAGTAACTATGTCCCAGGGAACCTGAAAACAAAGTAAGCGATACCCAGACACTCGGGAAAAATCCAGGCTACAGCACCCGCTGGGTAGTGGCAATCCTGCTGGCCAGCGAGGCAGGCTCGGGCCAGGCAGCGGGGCTGGGAGCGAGGCAGGCCAGCTCGGCCCCCCACCTCCACCACCAAATCTTGACATGTCCTCTGGGCTCCTCTGGCCTTGCCCGCGGTCTTGCCTCTTCTGCAGTCACAGCCTCCTGCAGCTTCTCTCCCTGCTCTCTGCGTGGCACAGCCTCCTAGCCCTGGCCTCCAGACCCAGGTGTGCGCCCTTCCACGTGCCCACCCGTGCTCCAGGTGTCCACAGCAGGCACCAGCCTGCGCCACACTCCAGAGCGCCTCCTGCATCAGCACCATTAAGGCCGCCTGTGGGAGCCACAGTGGCCAGCGGTGCAAAAACCTGGCCAACTTCATTTACCCTACACTCAGGCATCAGGTTCCACGGACTTGAAAGAGCCTCCCAGTAGCTGTTCATAATAACAGGGAAACAAGGATGGTGGGCTTAAATCGGGAAGCAGGGAAAGGTGTAGACAAAGGATAAATCGCCTGAGGAGAGGATCCTTTCTAAATGGGGAAAATAGAGGCCCTCCCTGGTGGCGCAACGGGTTAAAACTCTGCATTATGAAGCTCTCTGAAGCCACTGCAGTACAGTTCCATCCAGGGCCAGGGAAGTGACCCACATGGCGCAGCAGACCTCTCCTGACCCGCCCGCTGCTCCCCTCCGCAGTGTATTTCAGTACATCTGCCTGTCTGCTTCCTGCTCGGTCTCTGGTGAAGCCTCTCACCCACCACACCTCTGACCTGTACCCCAGTTCTGTAAACATTAATAAATAAACCTTTAAATGGGGAAAAGATATACATCCTCTGTTTTTCTTTTGACCACAGACAAATGGCTCAAATGGCAGAAAGTAAATCACGTGTCCTCCTAATCTTGAATGGCCTCCTCCAGCTGGCAGGTGGCACAGAGCCTCGCTGGGCTTCTGCTGGTTTAGGGCCACTCGTTGAGGAGCTAAATTGCCTGATGTTAGACTGTGTTAATTGGGGAGCAAGGGGAAAGCCTGGCCTGTGTAACTGAGGCTGAGACTGAAGCGGGGTGCATGGTAGAGAACCCTTACCGAGCCTCAGGGACAGGGGACTTGGAAACCCTCACATGCCTACTGGGGGGTGCAGACTTGTGTAGTGTCCACATCCCTACTGGGGGTGTGGACTTGGCTTCCCACTCATGCTGGGAGAGTCATTCAGGTGCTGTAAGAATCACAGGTTGGGGGGTGGGGGGCTGGACGGACCATTCCATAGAGCATCTGTGTGATATTCACAAAACCAGAAAATGTGTTGAAAGACACATGCTGTTTAAAATACCCGAGTAAGGCAACAGCCCCCTGCCCGCCTGTGACCACGCAGGTGCTTCTTCTCACCAACCTTCTCTCTTTGCAAAGCAGCAGAGGCAGCGGCTCCCTGGGCACCCACCTGTGGCCCGCCTGCCTGTGGCCCGAGGGCGGCTCTAGCCAACCTGAACCTTTCAAGGGCAGCTCTTTCTGCCTGCGTGTGTCTGTGCAAACATTTTTTGCTCTTCCATTTTTATAATAAACCTGCCCTTTTAGATATAAAAAAATGAAATAAAATAAAAACCCAAGTATGAAAACAGCAGTCGGGACCAGGTGTTTGTGTATGAAATCCTTTTTTTATTGGCTGGTGTCTACCTGGTTCTCTGGGGTTTCAGAAGAATGGGTCACCTGGTTCTGCTATGAGAACTGCATTAATAATGGATCACCTCAGCATTTCACCCATCCATTTAGAAAGCTTTACTGAGAACCGGCTACATTACAGGCCAACCAGCCAGAACCAGTCTTGGACGCGGTGTGATGGCACAGAGCCTTCTGGCCCTAAGCCAGACCCCAGAATGGGAAAATCTTACTGAGCACGTGGAGTTACAGTGGCACAGTCCTTGCCCCTGGAAGACAGAGGGGGGAGGGAGGGCATTCTGAATGGTTTGGAATTTATTTATATTTTAAAATGTCCCAGATAACAAAATAGAAAGGAAGCTTCCTCTGGCTGGAGAGCAGGAATAAAGGCTTTTGGAAGGGGAGCCCTGGGCACTGTGGGTTCCAGGCAGGGACTCTGGCCTACTTCGCACCCTTGTCTCTCTTCCTAGCTGCCTGTGACTGCGCCTTCTTTGGTAGAACTCTGTCCCCATATACCATGTCAGGAGCTCTCTGAGTTGGACTTGCTTGAGAGATGCTTCTCTTGAGCTGGAAGTTGACCTGGAGGAAAGAAAAACAAAATGAAAGACACGTGAGGGATAGAGGAGTGAGTTTTCTACTTCCTGGAATTAAAACTGGGGAAATGCAGTTTGGACCCTGTTCCTCCACAGTTCTGGCTTCTGAGGGCCAGAGACTAAGAAGAATTATGACAGCAATGTCCCAATAGAGCAACACTGGTGCTATCGGCTTGTCTAACAGCCCCCCAAAGTGGGTCATAATCACTGGCGAAACGTCTGGGAAATCTGGATGCACTTAACATCCATTTATTTCATATGTATCAGGGAAAATGATATGCCCACCACCAACCATGATTTGACAGGGATTGTTGCTTGGGACAAGAGAACAGATGTGCCATAACCATCCCTCTGCGCCGGTCGTGAGTCACCGAGTCAAGCTCAGGCACGCCAGCCCACACCTCACTTCTTCACTGCTGGGAACTGCAGCTATATAGATGAGGTGTCTGCCCCGTGCCAGTCCTTAAATTTTAATGTCCTTATGCATTAAAGCATTGTGTCCAGAATCTGTGGCAACTTCCTCTGGCCATGGCGTGCAGATGTAAAGGTGTTTTGGGATGGATAAGTATGGGGTGAGCCGGCTGGGCGGTACAGTAGGGCCATCCCAGGATGTGAAGAGAGAAAGGGCCGCACAGCCATCTGACTCTCCCCAGCGACACCTCCAGCCTGCTGGCCTTCGGATAGTTGAGCTGCTGAAGACAGTTGAGAGCTGAAACCCCTGCAGCTGAGAGATCTTCCTGTGGGGTTACTAAGTGCTGCTTCCACAGAAACCCAGTCAGCTTTTCTGCTGACTCCCAAAGTGGGGAAATCAGAGCCCAGTGCACTGTGTCAGTGACTCAGTCCAATAAGGTACTAAATTGCCTGGGAAGAGAGCACTGGACTCTGGAGGTATTCAAAAAGGTCCCTACTGCAGCCTGCAAGGCCCTAGCACATGAACTTTCCTGTTCTCTTGCCAGGCCAGGTGGATTTGTGCTTTAGATGAGAAGGGAGAGTTTACTGTGGCCAATATGTGCTGCTTAGGTGTTTCTGTCTCTATTCCTGTTTCGGGAACTGCACCCAAAAGTCAGGTCCCCTGCCCACCCCCAGTTACATTTGACATAATGATGCGTTATGTTCATTTATTTGAAGGTGACATGCCACAGGGGGTGAATCTTGTGAAACAGGGTACGTGACTCAAGACGAAGGCGGTTTGCCCTGAGCACGGAACAGACCTGCCTGGCTGGCGCGTGCCGCTGCCTGGCAGGTCCTGGTCTGGGGGAACGTGAGGACCAGGAGCCTCACAGGAAACAGGGAAGGAGGGTGTGTTGCTGGAAGTTGGCACCACTAACAGGCTGCCGGAGAAATGTCCCTTTGCTTCCCTCATAGCAAGTGAGCGTTATTTCTGTCATGCAGGGGAGGGGCCTGTAGGCACAGAGCTGCCTAGAACTTCGGAGGACTTGCTAAAGGACAGAAGGAACTGTTCACCCTGCCCCTTGTGTTGGAAAAGGGGGAAAGGGGAGACCCAAACACAGGCTGAGAGCTGAAGGCAAGGCCTGAGCACAGTGGGGGGGGGAGCCCATAGGGGGCACAGCCCCCCACCTACTCACCCCCTCCTGCTGGGTAAGTTTCTCACTTTCTTCAAGTTGCTACTTCCTCAGCCCCAAATGGGGATCATTATCTCTACTTTCCGGGGTTCTTGTGAAAGTTAAATGAGATCCTCTGGAAGCTCGCACAGAGTTAAGGGGCAGTGGTGGCCATGACCGAGTCTGAGACAAGCTGCCTGGCCTCTGCCCCCACCAGCAAGGGGAGGGAAGGCGTGCGCTCCTGGCATGTGTGTCACGAAGGCACAGGGCGCCTGGGGGGGGGGGCGCTGTTGTGTGGGGAATCAGGCTCAGGGGCTCCAGAGTGGGACATCCAGGGCACCGTCCCTCAGCCCAGAAACCTGAGCATCTGTGTCCATGACAGCTGGGCCCCTTTAGCGCTGGATCCGGATCCAACATGGCCAAAGCTAGAAAGTGGACAGGCTATAGATGAAAAAAAGTTTTTCTTTCCCCCCTCTCCATCATACTTATAAAAGAAAGCCGTGGTGGCCCTCCCTGGTGGCGCAGCAGGTTAAAGCACTGCACTAAGAAGCTAAAGCCACTTCTGCATGAGTTCGATCCCCGCCTGCCCCGGAGGTGACCACATGGCGTTGCAGACCTCTCCTGACCCGCCCGCTGCTCCCCTCAGCAGTGTACTTCGTCGATCTGTCTGTTCTGCTCCCCGCTCTGTCTCTGGTGAGGCTTCTTACCGCCCCTAAGCCTCTGGCCTGTACCCCAGTTCTGTATGCACAAGTAAATCTTTTTTAAAAAAGAAAAGAAAAAAAGAAAGCCGTGGACTGTTGAGGAGGACTGGAGAGCTGCTGGCTGTCTGCTGAGGTGGCAAACACAGCCACCAGAAGGGGACAGTGCCACCTGGCGGCGGCCGGCTGATGGCACAGAAGCAGGAAGCCGCCAGGCCAGGTGCTGAGACTCACAAAGTAGCTTACGAAGTAGCTAGGGAGCTCGCTGCAGGAGTTGGCACGGTCCTGGGCGCTTTGTGAGCACTTTCTCACTCCAGCCTCTTAGGAAGGCGCTACTGGCATCACCAATTTACAGAGGAAGAAACTGAGGGGGGCAGCCACTAAGGATTTGTCCACGGTCTGTGGACAAACGAATCAGATTGAGAATCAGACAGAGCTTTTCATCATCGTGCTATGTTAAGTGGAAGAAAACAGAAGAGCCAAAAGGAAGCAGAAGGGAGATTAGGAGTCAGGTGCAAAAATGAGCTGATGCGAGCAATGCTTTTGCTTTTGGGAGGTCTCGGGCTCAGGTCAGAACTAGGAAATCCGCGGTCTGTGACTCCAACTGTGACTCGAACTGGTCTTTACAGCTCTGCAAAGGCCAGCCTAACTCACCTGTGTGGGCTCCGCAGGCCCCACGATCACACTGACAGTCTCTGGGTCATACCCGGGCGCCCTGGCAGTGACGCGGTAAGTGCCCGGAAGCAGCAGCCGGAAGTAGTCGCCGTGGCCTCCTAAGAGTTAACACAGACAAAGCTCAGTCTGCTGCTGAAATCTCCCATGTGGGGCCTTGACATGAAAAGCAACCTGATTGTTCAGCTGACCACAAGCTTGATTTCCCTTAGCAGTGAGATGAAGCTGGTCAGGATCTAAAACCAGTCATTTCTGCACTTTGCATCAAGAGTAATGTAATTTTAGAGCCTGTATTTTAAAACAAACACATGACCAGTAATGGGTCACTTAGAGAAAGATTGAGTGTTTCACCTGAAAAAGTCACTGAAGAAATGGTCTCTACTTAGGGAAAGACGAATGAAATGCAAATTATGGGCCGAAGTAGCAGGGGAAAGATTTCTCTAGACGAAAGTCAAAACTGTTGACAAACAGCTACTGGAAAGAGAACTGGACTGCTTGATGAAATTATGAACACTTCAGCAAAGACTGAGTGAGTGACTCTGGCAAAGCTGTATCATTGCGCAGTGTAAAACCTGCACTGATGTACGTGGTGGCTCCGGGCCGACAAGCAGCCGTCCACAGTGTGGATGTGTGTAGATCTTACAGTGAGTAGGAGGGCTTGGTTAAATGAGTACTGAAGGTCTAATTTTGACAATCTTATCTCTTCTTTTTCTTCCATCTTCAAAAGTGTGTTAAAGGGAAGCTAAAAGTCAACAGAAAGTCAATTTCTCTATGTCAGGGATAGAGCATTTGACTAACGACTTCATATGTCGTTAGAATCAATTGTGACTATGCCTTTAAATTTTCTTTTAAGTATACAGCAATAATAGAAATAATAAATGAGATTCAAAATAGGATAGATAATAAATAAGGAGTAAAATTGATGGTGGAGGCAGATCTTGTTGGGGCCAACTTGGAACTTTCCAGGAGACAGGATATTTCATGGCACAGCAGTATTGCAAACTGACCCAGACCAGGGACAGTTCTCTGTCTCCTAGTAAATGTATGCAATTTACCTTAAAGACAGTGTGTTATTATGTACCTGTTAGATATCTTAGCTTATACCCCAGGGGCTGCCATTTTTTTAATTGGGAGCTCACATCCAGGACTGGTCAGCTCACCAGATGCCCTGCAATGAGGGCATCAACTACATCTCTCCCTCATCAGCATTGATGTTTTGCTTGATAGCAGAATGAAAAATTAGCAGAGTTCTTTCACTGATGAAATGAGTAATTTGCTAGTTTAGCATAATGAGTATTGGAAATTAGTTAGCAGGAAAAGTAGTGGTGTTCAATGTATATTAATTGGTTAGAATGTTTCAGATATCCCTCTCTCAGAGCTGACCTAGATCTGGACCCTAAAAATTCTGGGTCAGCCACTGGGTTGCAGGATTCCTGATGTGTGACGTCTGTGAGTTACAGAAGTTTGCCTTGAATTAAGCTTTCGTGGAAGATAGGTTGGAATCACCTTAGAGGTGAGATTTCATTTGTTTAAACAGATTGTAAAATGCGTGTGTGCTAAAAAAGTGTTTGTGTAGTAAAATGTTTCTGAGCCTTGCAGGTATTGGAGTTGTAAGAGCAGGCAAATCTCACCCTCCTAGACTCTTGGTATATAATATTAGAAATAAGACAAACAGGGCCTTCCCTTGTGGTGCAACGGGTAAGGATGCAGCACTGCAAGCTGGCTGTAGCTGCTTCAGTGCAAGTTCGATCCCCAGCCCTGGAGGTGACCCCATGGCACAACAGACCTTTCCTGTCTTGCCCACTGCTCCCATCAGCAGTGTACTTCCTCAAACTGCCTGTTCTTCTCCCCACTCTGTCTATGCTGAGTCTTCTTGCCGCCCCTGCATCTCTGGCCTGTACCCCAGTTCTATATGCATAAATAAATACATCTTTAAAGAAAAAAGAAGAACTAAGACAACCAGCAACTAGAACAAAAAATTGTCCATGATTGAATTGGTCTGGGTCAGTTTGCAATACTGCTGTGCCATGAAGTATTCAGTCTCCTAGAAGGTTCCAAATTGGCCCCAATAAGACCTGCCTCCACCATCATGCCCTGCAGTAAGGCCCTAGAATGAATCTTGCTACTTTTCTTTGGAGGAGGTGTAGTAAAATGCCTGAGCAAGGAACAAGGCTAAATGACAAATTTTTTGTCTTTTTCCTTTTTCTAACCCATTTTATTGCAGTATGTGAGCCACTGATAAGCTCAACCCAGAAACGACCCTGAAGAAATTACATGAGGCAGTGACTCCTACATGCTGAGAGAGACATTACTTTTATGTCTTCCTGGTTCTTATCTCTTAAATCATTCATCCCCATTTCTATTGGCCCACCTCCCTCCAATCCCACATCCCAGAGTCCTCACCAACTGGGCTAGTCTTGCAAACTGGCCTCCTGGTTATGCTGAACAACACCAGGAGGTGAAAGCTTCCTCTGACCCCCCAAGGAGTGGTTGCCTACCTGAAGTGACATCGTGGTTAATCCCATCGACAGAAATGACGGCGCCTGGGAGGTTATTATAATTCTCATCTAGCACCATTCCCTTGATGCCCTGGTGCACCTATGGAAAGAAAGGTGATCGCTCACAGCTAGGACCCTAAAACTTACAGCTAGGACCCTAAAGCATCTGCACAGAGTTTAAGAGTCTTCAAAGTCTTTCTCATGTGCTTTTGCTTTGATCTTCATAAACGTTACCTTATAGATCCTTAACTGGTCTTTCTGAACCTCTCTATCCCCAATAATCTCCTCTCAATAGAGCAAAGTGGTCCTATTATAATAGTTAACTCAATCATGTCATTTGTCTGTCCCAAATCCAGGTCATAGCAAAACTAAAGTTTGGGGATGGTCTAGAGAGCCCCAGCCTCAGCCGGCTCTCTGGTCTCATCTACTGACCTCATCTTATTCTTACGATTGTTCCACTCGCACTTGTGTTCTGGCCTTTTTTTTTTTTTTTTTAAATGAAGAAAAGGTTTCAATAGTGAAAATATAAAATGAACATAAAAGTTTCTATCTTGGGGCCTCCCTGGTGGTGCAAGACTTAAAGCACAGCACTATGAAGCTCCCAGCAGCCACTGCAGCACGTGTTGGCCAGGGAGCTGACCCACCTGGCACCGCAGGCCTCTCCTGTCTCCCCCGCTGCTCCCCTTAGCAGTGTGCATTGTCCATCTGCCTGCTCCCCACTCTGTCTCTGGTGAATCCTCTCACCCTCACTCCACCCCAGTACCTCTAGCCTGTACCCCAGTTCTTGTATGCATAAATAAATCTTTCAAAAAGTTTCCATCTTAACCAGTCATAAATGTTTGGCACAACTGTGTTAAGGTTATTCGCACTGTTGCATGGCCAACCTCCAGCACTTTTCCATCCTGCAGAACTGGAACACTGCACCATTAAGCCATTCCTCATTTGTCCTGCCCCAGTTCCTGGCAATTGTCATTCTGTTTGCTATTCTACCATATGACTAACCACCCCGGTACCACAGACAAGGGAAACCACAGTGTTTGTCTTTCTGTGAAGCTCAATTTACTTATCATAACCCCTCAGGGTACACACGTGCTGTAGTCTGTGCCAGAATTGCCCTCTTTCAAAGAGCTGAGTACTACCCCAAGGTGGGGATAGACCCCACAGGTTTACCCATTCATGCACCAGGGGACCTTTGGCTCTTGTGAATGCTGCTGCCATGAACATAATGTCTGAATATCTTTTTGAGATCCTACTTTCAGCTCTTTGGGGTGTATGTCCAGTGGTGTTACTGCAGAATTCTAGGGAAGTCTTAATTTTCTGAGGATTTCCTATACTGCGTTTTTCAGAGTGGGCACTACACATTCCACTAACAATGCACAAAAGCTCTAACTGTCCCATATCCTTGCTAATACTTGATATTTTCTGTCATTATTAAAAAAAAATTTTTTTTTTAAAGCAGCCATCTAGAAAGTAGGAGGTGGTATCTCCTCGCGATTTTGACTTGCATCTGCTGGGTGACTGCTGGCACTGAGGGCCTCTCCAGCCGTGGGTGGCTGGGACTTGCTGTTCCTCATGGGGAGGGTTCCCCGTTTCCAAATCTGCATAGTTCTCTCCCCACTTCCTGTATGTTGTTTAAATGTCATCTCTGCAAGGCCTTCTCCATAGCATTTTGCATTTAACATGCTGTACAATTTATTTTGCTATTTTGGTACTGTCTACCTTTAGACAATGTAGACAATAGTCTCTGGAATGTAAAGTCCCCGTGGGCAGGGATACTCGTTCATTTACAGCAGTTTCTGACAGGCAGTCTAGCTCAATCGTGTTGGATGACTAAATTTCACTGGCAGAAGGATCCAGATCTATTCTAGGGGCCAGCCTCGCCTGAGGATGATTTGAACAGCGTGTACGAGAGTGCCTGCTGGCTACACCGTCTAGCCTAGGTGGGCGGTAGCTACACCATCTGGGTTTGTGTAGTCACACTCGATGGCATTTGCACAACAGCAAAATTGCCCAAAGATGCATTTCTCAGAACACTGCCCCAGTAGTAAGCGAAACAGGACTGTACTGAGTCAGCTTTGATTCTACGAGACTCCCACCAGAACCACACACCAAAGCTAACCCACCATCAGAAAATCACTTCTCCTCTGTAACCTGCAAGTTAAGGAACAGGATTTCACCTGTTCCAGGAACTGGATCAGGGCTTCCCGATTACCCAGCCACTCGCGCTGTAGTTCTTCTTGGCGGGGAAATTTGTCGCAGCTCAGCTCCAGTGTGATCTCAAAGCAGTTGGTGTGGAGATAATTAAAGTCTTGCATTCCTGGGGAAAGAAGGCGGCGAGAGTCTTTTATCAGCCAACTTCCACCCCAGGCCCCACCTCAACTCTGTTTAACCACCATTTCTCCAGACCTCCCTATCACCTTCTGCCCTACTTTTGAGCCCCATTTATAGTCTGTTCCATAAAAGCCTTCCCCCACCCACCACTTCACATGCCTTTCTTTCTAGTTTTCTCTTTTGATACATGTTTGTGCTATTATCTCCATCCTCCACCTTTTTTTTCATTTTGTGAATTGAATTCTTGTTCCTCTTAGCATTTCCAAAATCGGCTTCTGAATAGCACCTTAATATTAGACTGTTCACAGGTGCTAATTTCAGGGTCACAGAGCCCACACACTTAGCCACTGACTATATCACAGCCACACATCACTTAGTGAGCAATGAGGTATTAGGGTGACCGGATATAATTACACAAACCTCAGTGGTACAGCCCACCACACACCTGGGCTGGCTGGCTGGCCCCGTGAGGCACTCACTGCCAGCCATGTGGTCTGTCACTGACCAAAATTCACTAAGCTAGGTCTGAATGCATTGCTCTCCTGTGCCCTAACCTCTTGTGTAAAACATACACATACACCTGTTTTATTTTTTAGTTGGGATTTTTTTGAGGGTTTATTTTTTCCTTTTTTAAAATAATATATCAGTTTTAAAGAACCAAAAGTGTCCTTTCCTTCATTTAAAAGAATCACAAAATGATATTAAATACCAAGCTAACACCTTTATGTTCAGATTGCTACTTGAATGCATACTGCACAACAGCGTGCTGCTTCTCTGAGAAAAATGGTCATTCAGGGAAGGCAGAGAGGTTAAAGTCTCAGTGCTATCAGGCTATGAGCAGTCACTGCAGAGCAAGTTGGATCCCCGGCCAGGGAGCTGACCCACATGGTGCACAGATGTCTCCTGACTTGCCCCTTGGTCCTCTCAGCAGTGTATTTCAGGGGATCAGCCAGTTCTGTCCCCGTTCTGTCTTTGAGGAATCCTCTCACCCCCGCAACTTTGAACTACACCCAGTTCTTGTATGCATAAATAAGTAAAAGCACATCTTTAAACAAAAAGAAAAGAAAAATGCTCATTCGGAAGAGACACGAGTCCTGCTTCAGCTTGCAGCACTGGCTACAGTGGGACACAGCTTACCCCTGCTGAGAGAATACCAGGAAGCCCCATTGGTGATGCCGTCTGGGAAGTAATCTCCACAGTTCCAGCCCTGGTACATCCATCCGTGTGCATAGGAGTAAACTTTGGCCAGCTAAAGGAAAACACGCGGAGCAAGATGATGAGTGTTCACAACTTATATAGCAAAGCTCACACTCCGAAGTACAGTGAAGCCAGAAAACCCCCTAAGGAGAAACAGCGAAGGAAAGGGATACCAGGAGGGATAGATGGTGATGGCGGCGGGGGTGGGGGGGGAATGGGGGTAGAGCGGACTGGAGTTAGGGAACCTGTATGCTGATTTTTCTCCCATGTGGGGGATATATTTCTTCAAGTGCAAAGTGGGCGTGGCACTACGTGAGGAATTAGCTCCCTTTAGGCGTGCCATTTTCTAGCTGGGTTTTGTAAAAGAAATCAAGGAGTAGGTAAGGTAAGTCTTTGCTGGGAAGAGGGCTGTATTGAAGGGAGAGAAATGGACACAGACTCTCCATAGCTCTTTCTCTTTACTGTTTTATAACAATGTACAAAATGATATTACTACGGAAGAAAAGACAATAATCTACTTGCTTTGCAAAGCAATGACTGATCTCATTCTCTGTGCAATTAACTGATGAATTATTAAGAAATGCCAGAAAATATAATTTTCCGTTAACTTTATTGTTGCTGTTTTGAATTATTATGTAAACCTTTTCTCTGTGTGGCCTATCTGTCCATAAAGTAGCTGTAGTACCAGAAAGTCTCCAAAATTCACAGTGACTGCACTAACTTACTCGTAGCACTATTACTCTCTGGCACGCTTCTTGCTTATCATTAGCATAAGTATGTTTTGCACTGTAGTAACTCTACTGTAATGTTTTTCTACTGATTTACTTTTTCATGAATTTGTGGCTTAAAACTCAAAACAAAACAAGCTTGCACCTTCCTAGTAAACAAGCCCTGTTCTCGGTTATTTTTTGTAGACACATTCTACTGGGTCCTGTGTTACTGGCTGGACTTGTGTTCTTTCTCTGACCCCCACATTCCTCTGGCTGGACGCCCATCCTGCCCACCTTCTGGAAAAGCTTGTCATCGGGCGTGGGGGTGTTGGCGGTTCGGCGGTAACCCCGGACCCGGTGCTCCAGGGACTTGTCATAGGGGTAATTGGCCACCACCGCTCCTCCGTGGAGGTTGGCCGATAGGACGAAGTTGAAGGAGCGGATCCACTGGATCACGGCCTGGGTCTCGGGCTCCACCTGTGGAGAGAGCACAGCATGACGCTAGCCCAGGATGTGCCAAGTGGCCTTTTGAGTAAGCCTTTCAGGAAGCGCCTGAGGAGAGGGCGCGTCTGAGGGAAACAGTCCTACCAGAGGCGAGAAAACTCGACAGGGGAAGTTTGACTTTTGGTCTGTTGGTTCCAAAAATTAAATGGATAGACCTTTTTTCAAAATGAAATGTCACGCAGAATCCCAATATACAAAATAGCTAAAAACATTTGTGTGTGACATGACAAAGGTGGTACCTGCCGAGATACCTCCAGAAGGAGTGACAGGAAGAGTGACCTCGGGCCATGATGATGAGCTGGGGCGGGTTCCTCGACTGTAACCCAAGCACCACTCTGGGGAGATGCCCGTAGAGGAAACTTGGCCTCTCTGGGAACAAGGAGGGGGTGCTCTAGTTCACCCACTGTCTCGTGCCTTCTGAAGTGTTTTGGGAGAAATTCGGGGTTCTGGGACACATGGGAAACACTGGCTTGTAGTAATAGTTTCCAACTCCTTCTCCCCGCCCTCTCCACCCAGTGCATCTTAGTGGCAGTGGAACATCTCCTGTGGCACACACAAGCCTCATGGGCTGGGCAGAGTGTACACGGATCAGACAGAGTTGGCTAAGTGGTGAAAGCGCAACTCTTGCTGCATGCTGTACTGCTGGGGGTGACAGCACCCACGGCAGCCACGGCCTTGCATGGCAAGTAAATGATTTACAGTCCTCAGAGGTTTCCCTCCTCTCGGGGTGGATATGCTTCGAGATTATGTGTTAATTAACTGGGCCCAGGGTCAGCTGGAAAGGTCCCTGGCTTTCCCTCCCCAAGGGAGGCTGCATGAATGAGTCTCACCTACTGAGGGTAGATCTAGCCCCACGGGTACCATCACTTGAGGCAGTTTTCTCTCCGTGTCCTAAGACTCGGTCCAGGAGAACAGGGCCAGTTTCCTGCCACCCCTCGCTCTCTCCAGACTGCTCCACTGGGAGCGATGTTTCATTGACTTTTTTTCTTCTAAGATTCAGACGGAGATGCCTAGGGGAGTCTAATTCCTACTGGCTCAATTTCCTTATTTGGAAAGTTTAATAACTTTCTGGCTAGCTATGCTAACTAGCACAGTCTTTTTTTTTTTTTTTTTTTTTTTAGATTTGCTATTTACTTGAGCCGAGAACATGGTTGCTGCCTGGAATCTACACTTACCAGCAAGACCTTGGCTTCATTTCCAAGGGGAAAAAGTGCTCCATCTAAAAACCTCCCAGTATAAAGCTTCACACCTACTTCATTTTTCTGCCTCCAGTCTCTACACTAGATATTCTTCTCTGCGTCGGACAGAGAAGTAGGTGGTAGAAATGCCCCGAGGATGTTATACTGCTAGTGAGTGTAGTATTACTCCCACAGCAGGTAAAACCATTTAGATTAGCGAGGCCTTGGGGAGCGAGCTGGGAGCACAAAAGGGGGACCCTCTAGAAAAGTGGGAGACAACCAGTGTATGGTCAAGGAGTCAGGGGCATACAGAAAGGAAAGAGGACGAACTAAACCCATGAGTCTCTCTGAACCTCTTTCTGCACCTACTTGTTGGTGAGCACACACTTCATCAGTGGAAGAGGTTTTGCTATAGAATGCCAGAGCTCTATGGCACACAGTGCAGGGCAGTGGAAAGAACGCTCGGTCAAAAGCATTTGGCTTTAATCCTGATTCTATCAACTATCAGCTGTGAGAATTTAAATCATTTTTCAGTTTATAAGTGCAATGTCTCTAAAGGGCGGCTAGCATTGCATGAGGCTGCACCACACAGTGTTTTGATCAATAACAATGTGGCAAAGAAAAAATTCTGTAAAACTGCCAAGTTCTTGCGACTCTGACATCACTTTGACCTTCCCCACCATCACCACTAACATCAAACATTTCGTGAATCTGTGCTCTGTGAAGGGCTCTAGCTAGGTGATACACCGGTTAAGATGTAGTTATTATTGATCTGGACAAATGAATACAGAATTGCATTGATGCCTAATTCCTGCTTGCTTGGTGGATGTGGACAGTGCTAGGAGAAATTCCAGATGCGGATTCCAGGGTGTGTGAGTTTTTCTCATACCTGACTCTTCCAGTTGTCTGGCAGCGGCAAGTGATGATTGGGGCCTCCATACTTATCATTGTAGTAGATGTAGGTATTGAGGTCGGGGAAGTTTCGGTTCAAGTCTACTCCATTTGCATTGTTCCTGCCGACTAGATAGCCAGAAATATCTGGGCCCTCAGGGGAAAGTGAAAAGAGGAAAAATGAAGGTTTCAGATCTGTAGTTAAAGAGCACTCTCTCGCTCCTTTCAGGTGTTAGCTTTCTCTCTCTTATCCAAAGTCCCAGTGATACAGTTCAAGTTTCCCTTGGACTGTGGGCTGGAGGTTGGGATCCTGGGAGAAGCTGGAAGTATGAGTAGGGTACTTTAAGATAATGCAAGTCCCCTATTTAAAGTTTTTTTGAGATACGACAGCATAAAATTTTCCAGTTTTAGTTCATTTTAGTCTGATCACAGAGTTGTACCACCATCTCCACAATCTGCTTAAGATATTTCTATCACCCTAAAAAAGAAACCTCAGGCCCATTTACATTCAAGCCTCATTTTTACTTCAGCCTAAATGATCATTTTTGTCACTACAGAGCTACCCTTTTTTTTTTTTTTGACATTTCATACACATGGGATCATAACATTACATATTTGGCACAATGTTCCTGAGATCCCTCCCTTGTGGCTAATCACACTGCACCCACCCAAATAATTCATGGTATTTTATGAGCAGTTGATTAGCAACCCAATTGGCAAATAATCCCATTTGTATCCTATTTCCCCTTTGCCATATAAAGTCAGCTCTTCACAGGTTCTAGAAATTAGGTATTAGGATGCAAACATCTTTTATTGGTGTTATTCTGCCTTACCTACAGTAGCTTTAAAGTTTGGTGGCCAGGGAGGTCTTCCCTGCATTACAACCTCGCAGACAGTTTTCCTCTGGTATAGCAGGTAGCTCTAGGAGTTTGAGCCCCTGATGAGTCCTCTCTTGGGTTCAGGCTCAAGATCTGCTCCCTCTGAGCAAGCACACAGCAGGTGAACAGAGGTGACTGGTTCCCCAGAGATGGTTTGTTGGCTGAATCATGCCAGCAGAAAGTTGAGATTTATGGCAAGGGTCAGCTTTATGTTTGATTCAACATACTGGCTACATTCACTGCTCCTGTCCACAGCCTGGCCCTATTCTCAAGGAGGTTTAAAATATGCTTGGGTTGGGGCCCTCCCTGGTGGCGCAGCGGGTTAAAGCACTGCACTGAGAATCTAAAGCCGCTTCTGCATGAGTTCGATTCCCGCCTGCCCTGGAGGTGACCACATGGCGTGGCAGACCTCTCCTGACCCGCTCACTGCTCCCCTCAGCAGTGTACCTCATCCATCTGCCTGCTCTGCTCCCCACTCTGTCTCTGGAGAAGCCTCTCGCCGCCCCTGAGCCTCTGGCCTGTACCCCAGCTCTGTATGCACAAATAAATAAATCTTTAAAAAAAAATATGCTTGGGTTGGGCAGGTCATGGAAGGACAGATATGTCATGGTTTTACTCTTATGGGACATGGTGGTCAGATTCATGAAGGATGGTTGCCAGGGGCTGGGAGGCAGTTGCCCGGACTAGGACTGTCTAAAGGGTGTTACTAATCTCTGTGGATAAAGTTTGAATTGAGCAGAATGGATAAATTTCAGAGATCACCTGTGTTTAAAGGGTAGATCATCATAAGTATTCTTACCACAATACTTTTTTTTTCAAATTAATGTAAAGAAAAATACCGGATGGCTTCACTCATACAAGGAGCATAAAGGACCGGGGGGAAAATAATAATAATGAACAACTATATACCAGAGACATTTTACCGGGGTGGAGTGGGAAATGGGATCAAAAATGGGGAGTGCATGGGACTCTGGTGATGGCACACAGGTGAACTGGTGATGGGAACCCCACAGGGATTAAAACCGAGATGGGAAAAGGCACAAAATGATGTAAAAATAAACTATCATAATAAAAAAAATTAATGTAAAATTAGTGACCTATAGTTTTTAAAATGAAAAAATTTTCCAGACCACCCCAAATATATTTTCAGATTAAAAAATTTAAAAAACCCTTTAATTTAAAGCCATTCTCCCAAATTCAAAGGAAACCATGTTTGAAGATTACTTTTAAGAGAACATATTCACATGTAAGGCAAATACCTTCCTTTTACCCTTGAAAATTCTAATTGAGTAGGTTCTGGGGTGGGGCAAAGTCAGGGGAAATCCGAGAATCCTTATTTCAAAACTCTCCACCCACTCTGATATAGCCTCAAAAGAATTACTTATGTCACCTTAGGCATGCTGGCATTTTCGGTTTATCTTGGGAATAAAGTAAATGCCCATATGCCACTTTTAAACATATCTTCTGCAAATGAAACTCTTAAAGATTTACAAAAAACCGAGGACCACCGCAGTAGAGAGGAAAAATCCTACAGAGATGTAATAAAGCATCCAGAATTAACCCTGCGCCTAATTCTGGGAAAAGCTTGTCCTCCTGAAATTTACCTTCCAAATGCAAATAGAAGAGGATGTGGGCGGGAGCACAGTCCACAGGGTTGGACGCTAACTGCCAGGGAAAGCGGTCTCTTTGGCAATATTCCTTCACGCTGGAGAGTTCACAAAGTGTTGCCACAGCCACAGCCCTGGGGAGCCCCATAATAAAACCAGGACATGGCAGGAAAGGAGTGGAAGGAGCCGAGGTTCAGAGCCAGACCGTAGCCATTGCTCCTGGGCTGGACCTAGAGTTCTTGCTCTGTTACTTTACTGTCCATGTCGCGGACGCAGAGTCCACGCCTTTGACTTAATGACCCATTTCGGCCTCATCCCCTGCAGGCCTTCTCCCGGGGCCGTACCTGCTCGGCCGCCACCTCGTAGCCGTCGGGGTTCATGGACGGCAGGATGTGGATGCGGGTGCTCTCCAGCAGCTGCATGATGCGCGGGTTGTGGTTGCGGAATTCCTCGCACAGAAACTCTGACAACTGCAGCAGCAGCTCACGGCCCAGCACCTCGTTGCCGTGCATGTTCCCCACATACTTGAACTCCGGCTCCACTGCAAGTGGAGAAACACACACGCCCGACGGTAAACGGTGGGGCAAGCTGGGGGTACAACTGGCTCCTCACTTGCAAGAGACAGAACCCCTCCTCTTTTTTACCAGTAACGACTGAAAGAAAATCTTAAGCTTCCTTTGGGTCTTTTCCAAGAATCCCAACGCCCTTTCGAACAATCTGCAAGTGCAAATACTGCAAAAAGTCATGTCAGGGATAATCCTACCGCCTATAGAAGCTCTATTGTGTAGCAGGTATTTATGCTAACTATTGCTAGCCTGGAAGGGAGGCCTGGTTAGCTTCAGGAGGAGGGTTCTAGAGACAAAAGAGGTCAAGTAACTTCTTGGCAGCCACCCAGTTGATGAATATGATGCAAGCCAGAGGCTGGTAACATCTCTGTGACTGGCTGCTGGCTGGCTGGCTGGCTGGCTCTCAGAGACCACCTCTACAGGGTAGAGACCACCTCTACAGGGTAGGAACCGTGTTTCCTCAAACCTGCCCTCACCAAGTACTTAGGTTCTAGTAGAACAGTCCCTCGTCATGGCAATGGGAAGCTACATTTTCTTGGTATTCAGGAAACTAAAATCTCTTCTTCATATCTAAGATAGGGATGTCTTGAGGCACAGCATAGGAAGGAGTCTGAGTATGTCTTCTCTCTGTTAACTGTTCCACCGAAGAACTGAGGTGATGAAAGAGCCTCTAGAACCATTTGAAGAAAACCATCTTGCTCTCTTGTAAAAAGGACAAGAAGACTCCTACCAGAGCCTTTCCCTCACCCACACTCGCCTGCCTCTCAGGCTGTTTCCTTCTCTACCTCCCCATCTCCAAATTCCCAAACTCTCAGCATCCTCCTTGGCTCAGTTCAAATGTTGAGTTCTCCCTGCGGAAGTAAACTCTGTTGAACTTTGAATTCCCACCTTCTGCTGGGTTTTACCTGATTTTTTGTACATCTTATTTCTTTACCGAAACCGTACTTTGTATTTTATGTCCTTTGCAATTTTTAATTTTCTTCAGCCTACCATCCATTGTTAATTATCTTAGAACACCTATAGCAGTCTTCCCCAAAAGATTGTCTGTAAGCCACAGGATCAGATAGTGGGTTTCAATAATGTGTACCGCTAAATCCTTAGTCCTCATCCTTAATCCTTAGATCAGGTCTTTCTTACTTTTATTGGTGTTACAGTGATACTTCTTTTAGGAAAGAATACAGATTGCAAATGGCAGGAATTATTCTTCAACAACCCTGTTTAGCAAAATAAAAAGTGGGAAATCTATTTAGTCCTTTCCAATCCCTTTCATTTATTAAATTTAAAACTAAAAACTTTGCTTTGAAATCCAGAAGTCTGGGAACCACTGCTCTATGGAACCTGCACTTTTGCGGGTGTTCAGTGTTAGTTTCTTTTGTCTCATTTCAATTTATCAAGAATAACATCACTGCTATCCTTTCGGTTCAAATCCCCACAGTCACATGCATGAATTATTCAAATAAATCTCCTACTTGAACTCTGTGCATCTGCACAGTCCATTCTCTTGAGTCAGGGGTTGGCAAACTTTTTATTAAGTCATACATAATAAAGGCTTTTGGTTTTGTGGACTACTAACTCTATCATAGTTATTCAACTTTTCCAGCAAAAACACACAGACAATTCAAAACTAAGTGGGCATGACTGTTTCAGTAAAACTTTATTTACCAAAACGGGCTATGGTTTGCTGAGACTTGTTCTGAGTGATATTTTAAAAGTTAAAGCAGATCCTGTCACTCTTCTGCCCCAAATCCTCCACCGTCTCATTTCACTCAAAGTAGAAGCCAGAACCTTTGCAAAGAGCAAGAGCACACGTGAGCGCCCGTGTGGTCTCACCTGTGTGGCCCTCTCTGCTGGAGGCTCAGGAGCCTCTTTGCTCTGCCTCATGCATGCAGGGGCAGGCCCCTGCTCTTCCCTCTGCTTGCTATGCTTTCTCCCCATCCACAGGCGGCCGCCCACCCTTGAGAGAGAAGCCTTTCTTAAGGAGCACCCACTTCCCCACTCAGTCCACAACCACCTGCATATTGCTTGTCTCTCTTTCCTGGCTTATTTTTATCTGCAATAATATTTTTGCACTTAGTTGAAATTCACTCACACATTCATTGCCAATCTTACCCCACTAGAATGAGGAGCCTGTGGGCAGGCTTTTTGCTTTATTCTCTCGTATATTCACAATCCACAAAAGCGCTTACCTCTAGCAGACAATCAGTTATGTCTGTTGAATGAATGACCATCAAATGTAAGGACTGGCCCGCTAAGTTGGAAGGCGGCAGAGAAAAGAGGGATAGGTGGAGGCTAGAAGACTTCAGGGAAGGCCTTGGGTGTTGGAAAGGGGCATGGAGTGAGCTGCTAACTCTAAGGTCCAGACACACCCACTGCATGCACTTGGCTCCCACGATGCACACCCACCCTGAGCAAATGCAGGGTCTTGCTGTGGAAGTACAGCTTCCGAGCAAGGCCCGGGACCTCACTTCATTACATGGCCTTCCCGACTCCCCTCACTGCCCTGCCATCTCACTGGCCATATAACATTCTGAAGCTGCCATGGGCAGAATTCCCCAGGTGTGTGGTTGTCCATGAAAGTTTTTAAGCAGTGGAGTGAGATGATATCAATATTCAGGAAAATGACTCTGGCATCTGTGTCCTAAATGGAAGTTTCAGAGCCTGGTAGCATTTAGAAGTTAGGAGACTAGTTCGGAATCTTGTGTAACACTTTGGGGAGGTTGTGGTGGTGTTTGGGCTAGGCTGGGCGGTGTGGAAGGGGTAGGAAAAGAAAGATTTGAAGCTGACATTTTGAAGGAGAAACTGACATAACATGAATGTCACACGCATTGTAAGTAAAGCAGTGAGAAATTAGAGGCAACGTAAATGTCCATCGATACAGAAACAGTTGGAAAATTAAACAACCGAAATAGGATGATGTAGATCAACATTTGCAGATTTGGATGTTACATAATACTGTGAATGAGAAGAGCAGTTAATGTGATCCCATTTTTATTTTAAAAATGTGGTCTAACATTTTACAGGGTTGGAGTGGGGAATGGGATCAAAAATGGGAGGGGAGGGAAGTGTATTGGACTGTGGTGATGGAAAGCCCATGAGGATTGCAACTAAGATGGAAAAAGGCACAAAATAAACTATTATATTATTTTTTAAAATGTTGTCTAATGGGAATTTAAATATGCTTAGAAAAGGGTCTAGAAGAATATACCTCAATATGGAGCCTCCCTGATGGTGCAGGGGTTAAAGTCTCACTACTATGAAGCTATCAGCAACCACTACAGCACAAGTTCGATCCCTGGCCAGGGAGGTGACCCACATGGCGCAGCAGACCTCTCCTGTCTTGCCTGCTGCTCCCCTCAGCAGTGTCTTTCAGTAGATCCGTCTGTCATGCTCCCCACCTCTGTCTCAGGTGAATCCTCTCGCCCCCTCCCCCTGCCTCTGGCCTACACCCGGTTCTTGTATGCATAAATAAATAAATCTATAAAAAGAAGAATATACAGTATGTTAACAGTGGTCATCTGGGGCTACTGGGAATAGTGGGATTGCGGTGTTTTTTTTTTTTTAAACTTCATTGAATTTCTAATTTTAATCCAAACATGAATTGATTTTATAATAGAAACAAGTGAATAAAAAATAACCCAATAGATAAAACAAGTACCCTAGACTTCAAGCTCTCTCCAAGATACCATAGGATCACAGTCATTTCCCAAAGACATTTTCCTAAACCCTTCTAAGTTTCTTGGCAGGACTAATGTTTCTGCCTCTGAGTAATAGCAAGAGAGAAAGGATAGAGGAGGGAAGGAAGGAGAATGGGATGGGAGCAAAGGAGATTCACCTTTCGTCATTAGGTCTTGAGCAAACAGAACCTCAGAAGGAGGAAGAAATTGGGGCCTGAATTGTGCTGACAGGTCCCCCGGGGCAGAGCAGGCTGCGTGCTGAGGAAGCTCGAAGCCAGACCGGGGGGAAGCTCGCTCCTTTACAGGGGAGGGTCCGTGGGCCTTCCCAGAAACCACCCCATTACTGGCTTTGCAAGGGAAGCGTCCTACCCCACAAACTACAACAACTGCCCGGGCTTACAGGGCTCGTGGACTCCAGGGTAGTCGCTGAATTCCAGGACGTAAAGGTGTCGCCCTTTCACGCTGCGCCCGATGGTGTAGACCCGCGTGACAGAGGGGCACTCGTTGTGCACCTTGTACAGCGTCCGCACGAGGTCGTCGTAACGGCGGTGGCGGAAGGTCACGGGGGCAGCCAACTTCAAGAGAAGGAGGAGGTGGAGGAAGGTTGAGAGCAGGCCTGGCATCTTGCGGAGTTTTTTCAGAGAGACTCACTGAAACGGCTCCCACCTCTCCCCAACTCCTGGCCTCTCCTTGTGGCCAGTCAAAATCCAGGGGCCACGAACCAGCTCGTCCCAGTTTCCCACCAGTACACACCAGTGTGACGGACGGCAGCGGGGAAGGACGTGCAGACCGTCCCGTCCCTTCCGAAGCTGGAAATCACTCGCGTGGCTGGGAAATCGCCCCTGGTCTCGCCTCCCCCATGGCTCTGCCTCTCCTAGTCCAGGAAAACCATTTGAAAGGGCTTTGCACTTCCACAGATTGGGTCGTTTCACTGATTCCCGCTTACTGATTAACTGACCTGTAAACAGGCTTCAATAAATAGCTGCTTATAACCCTTTGGTTCCCAGAGAATCCTGAGAAACTTGGCCGATGTGCGTTCCCTCTATGACAATAGAAGGAGATTTTTAAAAAACTGAGCTCTTTTGACATTCTTTCTACGGGGGTGGAGTGGGGAATAAGCTCAAACCTGGGGCGGGAAGAGCGCTCAGGACTATGGTGATGGCACCCGGGTGAATTTGCGGTGGGAAATCCACGGGGATTCCAACTGAGATGAAAAATGTACATCCCATATGACACTGTCAGACTTGATTTCTGAAGCACAGATCTGTTTTGTCCCTTCTCTCCTCAATAGGTAACTTTGAAAAAATTTTTAAAAATAAACAAGCATGTGTGACTGACCAGCACGCATAGAGAACTCTTATAACACAGTATCAAACAAGTCAAATAGAAATTGGCCAAAATATTGGAATAGACTTTTCACCAAAGTCGGTATGTGAATAGCTAGTAAGCACACTTAAAGATGGTCAGCCTCATTGGTCATTGGGGAAATCCACCTTAAAACCACAATGAGATGTCATCTCATCGCCCTTAGAATGGCTATAATCAAAAAGACATAATCACATATTGTCAAAAAATAGGGGGAGATTGGAACCCTCATCTGTTAATGAGAATGTGAAGTGATGCAGTCACTTAGGAAAAACATTTTGCAGGTTTGTGATTGTTTTTATGCACACAGAACTGGGGTACAGGCCAGAGGTGCAGAAGCTGTGAGAGTACTCACCAGACACAGAATGGGGAGCAGAACAGGCAGATCGAGGAAGTACACTGCTGCACCAATTCACCCCTGAACCATCCCCATTGTCCCTCGTGCTCTTCCCTCCCCTGTTTTGATCCCACTGCCTCCTTTAGAGAATGTCTCTGATTTATGGTTGCCTGCTAATTTTGGTTTTTTATTTACTATTATTGTTATTTTCCCCCTGATCCCTTATTTGTTTCCCCTATGTTCCTCCTTTAAGTGATACCATTCGATCTTTCTCTTTTTCCTTTTGGCTTATTTCACTGAGCATAATCCCTTCCAGCTCCATCCATGTTGCTGCAAATGGCATGAATTTACCTTTTTGATTGCTGAATAGTATTCCATCGGGTACACAAGTACCTTAAAATCAGTGCCTTAATATACAAATATACTAAAACATAAGATATAAATATATCTAAAAAGAAATAAAACAATAAAGCAAAGTGCTCCAAAAGTTAACTGCAAATTTACCATACAACCCAAGAACTCCATTCATGGGTACTATCCAAGAAAACAAAGATTTACACCCAAATTCCTATAATTTGCGTAAAGCTTTATTTATAATAACCTAAAAGGGGAAACTAACCAAATGTCCAACTGGTGGGTAAATAAAGTTGAACACCATTCAGCGACAGAAAGAAATGAAATCCTAATATGAGCTCCTAATGAAATCCTAATAGGTGACCTTCGAAAACCCTATGTCCTGAGAAAAAACCAACATAAAAGACTTTTGTGTGTTGTACCATTCCATTTGCCTGAAATGTCATAAATCCACAGAGAGACTGAAAGTAAAACAGCATTTCCTTGGGGCCGGGCATGGGAAAAGGATGGGAAGTAGGCGAGCGGGATCCTGCCCGCGGGGTGAGGGTAGTGAAGGCGATGCTGGCAACCTGGTCATGTGCCTGACGTCACTGAAGGGCACACTTGCAGTGGGTGCCTTTGTGAGATGTAAGCTACACCTCAATAAAGCTGTTTAAAAGACATCAGAAACTGTGCACACAAATGCCTCAAACTGGTCTCCAGAACCTTCCTGGCAGACACAGCAGGCCCTTGCCCTCCTGTCCCGGCAGCCTCCCATGCCACCTGCTGTTTTCTGAGCTAGCCCTCAAGCCCTCATCACCCACTTTCCCACTTTTTTTCATGCTGCTGGCAGGTCGCTTACCCTCGCCCCAAATCTGGGTCTTCCTCTCCTCCCCTTGCAGATGCTGCTAAACCAGCTTGTTGGTGATTCCAATGCTCCTTATTGAGCCTGCTTTACCCCCTACCTACTGTGCTGGGTCACAGGACGTAGAGCAGCCTCCTGACACACTATTCTGCCTCCAGGGACAATAGCTGATCTTCAGCACAGAGCCTGGTGCAGGACACATTTGATGAATGAATGAATGAGTGAACCCATTATTGATTTTACCTTTTATCCTGCTGTGATTTGAACAGGCATTTCAAGAAAATCTTATGCTATTATAACCTCTCAGTAAACACAGTTATTCCCTCCTGGAAATATTGGGTGAAAACTGTACAGCGGTCCCATCTGGGCCATAGGTGGTCCAGAGGTTGGCCCAAGATAAGAACCAAACTGGCAGCAACACAGGGACGCTGCCCTACACCCGCTGCTAAAACCCCTACTTTGGTGATGTTCTCCTGTCTCCAGAGGACTTCTGCTGAGTAGTGTCAATGTTATCTAAGCCTGCTTACTACATAGTAACTAGAGGAGCCTATGAATGAATGAAGAGTCCAATTCAATTCAACCATTCTCTGAGAGACATTTGGGCCTTGAGGATTATAAGAATGATGGTCAAAGGGAACCTGGCCAAGTGTGGAGTGAGAAAAGTTAGGCTCAGCAAAGGCAGGACCTTTCCAGTTCTCTTTGCCTGGAATGTCCTTCCTCCAGCTCACTTTACACTTCTGATCCTAACACAATGAGAACTGCACAGGAGACCTCTGATGAGTGCTGAAGAGGCTCCTTTTGATGTGCCAGGTCTTATCCCCTGGCTTACTTCAGGGTATTTGACTTATCAGTCTTAATTATCCAGTTCATTGCTTTTCTTATTTCTATGTTTGCTAGCTGACTCTCCCAGCAAAGATAAACATAGTGAAGGAGATTAATTTATCTTACTGTTCACCACTTAACCTTAGTACAATGTGCTGGGTAAATTTAAAAAACAAATAAAGGAAGTAATTTATGAGGTGCAGTCTGAATCTGAGTGAGCCAGTGGTGGGGAAGGGGGTGAGAGGAAAGCTTATTTTCCCTCCTTATCTCCCTGTCTCCTCTGGAGTCCAGGGCTCTGTCCTTGAATTTCTTCTCTTTACCTGCACCTATTTCCAGAGGATCTCATATGCTGTCCCACTCATAAATGATGACTCTCAGCTTCATAGCTCTTGTTTCCACTTTTCTGAACTGGGGAGCTGTTTCTGCCTACCTTACACGGTTGCCAGGGTTTCCATTGAGCACCCCCATCTAATGCCAGCCCATCCCACCTGTCCCAGGAGCCAAAGCAGAGCCTTCTAGACATAAAGCATGCCCACAAATGTCACCAAATGACAATGGGTCACCTGGATAAATGAAGAGAACCACTCCTGGGCCCCCCACACTTCCTGTTTACCTTGCCCTGTTAGTATTTCTCCAAAGCACTTATTACCATCACCTATTATATAGCTGTTTATTTATTGTCTTCTCTCCCTAGGAAGGTATAAACACCTCACAGAAGAGAATTAAGAAAATTGATCTCTTGTTTTCTGATGTGTCTCCAGCCCTGAGAGAAGGGCCTAGCATCTAATAAATGCTTGTCAAGGGATTGAACAGCTAAAAGGACTAAATATTTTTACCCATATAATCCCATTTGATCTTTAGGTCAAACTTTCTTGAGAGAGTGTCTTATCTCATATACCTACATGAAAATTCTTAAAATGTAAATGATTTTCTCAGATCATATAATCATAGTCTGGAGATTAAGTTAGCGCTCTGAGTGATTTCCAAAATTCCCTAATGTCTCTACTACTTCAGCCTGGTCACATTGTGAAAATTGCCTCCAACTTGGCTTCCCAGTCTTAAGTCTACTCAAAAAAATTTTTTTATAAAATAACTTCATGTGCATATATTAATGAATTTATTACAAAAATGAAGACAACACAGAAAAGAACAGGAATAACCACTGTTACCAAATGGTGAAATTAATCTTATTTGGATGAACATTTGTTCTTACTCCCTGCCTTTCTTTGCCCAAATTGACAAATACTTTCATGATGATTCAACTGCTTAGACCAAAATCTAGGACTCCTCTATAGTTCATTTGTCTCATTATCCCTAGCAGCAAGTTATACTGACTGTTTTTGAAATATCCTGGAAATTGACTACTTATTTTTCTCACAGCAATGGGTAACATCTGACATCCTAGTGCAAGTCACCATCTATTTCTTGCTTAGAAAATGACAACAGTCTCCTTGAATATTCTCCCTGCTTCCATTTTGCTCTCTAGATTTTATATCCTATATAGTCGCTGAAGTGTCTTAAAAACATTATTCATTCACTCATAATGGACCAGGGGAGAAAATAATAAGAATAATGAACATCCATATACCAGAGACATTTTGTGGGGGTGTAGTGGGGAATGGGACCAAAAACGGGGGTGGGGTGGGGAGAGAAGTGCACGGGATTATGGTCATGGCACATGGGAGACTCGGTGATGGGAAACCCGTAGGGATTACAATTGAGATGGAAAAATAAATGTACAAAATGATGTAAAAATAAACTGTTATAAAATTTAAAAACAAAAAAAAACATTATTCGATAAAATCCCACTCAAAACATTTCAGTGAATCGTCGTCATACTTAGAATAAAATAAAAAATTCTTACAATGACACCAAGGTCCAATAGAAAACGGTCACAACAT